GTTTGTTAGTCCTTGCAAGCAGATTTTAGTGCATCAATTCCCTATTGTGTTTGTTATTGAATTTTGATGTCATTTACTTGTTTTCTTATTTACTTTAACCCAAAATAACAACAACGACATAATAGGGTATCATTTTTACTTAATGTGATAGGTTAAATTTTTTTTTTTAATCTGAATACTAACTAAAAATGATAGCTACATGGTAAGGACATATCTTATATTATTTTGATTTCTAAATAATGACTGTAAATGACTAGTCATTAGGAATCGCTAGTAACAGTATACGGTATACTAACTTTGCGGTATACTTTATCCTGCACTTGGTATTAGGCACTTCATCCAATTTCACTATTATTATCTCTTGTTATAATTAATACCAAACTATGCGTATAATAAATACGTTTTCAAAATGAGTTCCTTTTTAAAATTTTGATAACTGGTTCCAAGTTATGATAACTGGTATCTATATATATATATATATATATATATATATATATATATATATATATATATATATATATATATATATATATATATATATATATATATATATATATATATATATATATATATATATATATATATATATATATATATATATATATATATATATATATATATATATATATATATTTATATATATATATATATATATATATATATATATATATATATATATATATGTATATATATATATATATATATTCACATACAACAAGATAAGATAATAAAATATATATACATATATATATTTTAATATTTTATCATGTTGTACGTGAATATATATATATATATATATATATATATATATATATATATATATATATATTCACATACAACAAGATAAGATAATAAAATATATATACATATATATATTTTAATATTTTATCATGTTGTACGTGATATATATATATATATATATATATATATATATATATATATATATATATATATATATATATATGTATACATACGTATATATATACATATATATATATATATATATATATATATATATATATATATATATATATATATATATATATATATATATATATATATATATATATATATATATATATATATATATATATATATATATATATATATATATATATATATATATATATATATATATATATATATATATATATATATATATATATAAATATATATATATATATATATATATATATATATATATATAAATATATATATATTTATATATATATATATATATATATATATATATATATATTTATATATATATATATATATATATATATATATATATATATATATATATATATATATATATATATATATATATATATATATATATATATATATTCTATATATATATACATATATATATATATATATATATATATATATATATATATATATATATATATATATATATATATATATATATATATATATATATATATATATATATATATATATATATATTTATATATATATATATATATATATATATATATATATATATATATATATATATATATATATATATATATATATATATATATATATATATATATATATATATAGTGAAAACTCAAAAATTATTAAGATATATTTCAATTACATAACTAAAAGTTTCACGCAATAGCGATCATCAGATGTAACAATAATAAAAAGTAACAACAAAAATTATGTACAAAAAATGCTATGGAGTGTCCGCTTTGATGACATAAAAGTTTTTTATTAGTTTTTTATTAGAGTGGAGTTGGCCTTACTTTCATAAAGAAAGGAGTTTTTATGTTTATACCACCTGTATTGAGTTTTTATGGTTATTGAGTTTTTATCGTTATGTTTATACCACCTGTACTGAGTTTTTATGGTTAAACAAAGGAGTTTTTATGTTTATTACCACCTGTATTATTGTTTATACCACCTGTATTATAAACGCTGTATTGAGCACTCTTACTGGAAATATTAACATAATTTCTACAATATTATCGCTCCTTTATGTTGAGCACTCTCAAATCAGGAAATCTTTGTGTTTTTCAGGGAATAATATGTGGATTAAAAAGTCGGCGAACCCTAATTTCGATGTCACCATAGGTAGTTTTGACGGAGCCGAATTATGCGAACTAGTTGGCCTCTATATCTTATACACTATTGCCAAAGAATATGGTTTTAATACTACCGGTCTGTATAGAGATGATGGTCTTTGCTGCCTTTATAATATCAGTGGTCTTCAATCGGAA